TTTTTCTGTGCCAGGGAGTAATTACCTTTCCAAGGAATTAGCAAGTGCTAAGAAAAAATTCACCTCTAACATGTCCCACAGGCTTGGCAGCAGCTCTGCTTCCTCTAGGGAGCAGGAAGAGAGCTGAAATAAGGAGAGAGCTTATGTTTTCAGCCCTGGCTGGTGCTGGTGGCATTGGAACCACACAGGGGAATGGGTAGAAATGTGGAAAAGCAGCAAAGCATCACTAGGAAGATATAGTGCATGTAGCTGGCATGCCGTGGATGCTGTGGGCAGGGAAATGCTGAGCTTAGAACCTGCTCAGGGGCAGGAGCATGCAGGAAATGCAGCTCCCTTGTGAGACAGGTGTCCAAAGATGCCTATTCTGGCACATGATAGCTGAGCAGCACCAGTGTTTTCCTTGCTGGAGCTGTGAATAGTAAGAAGGAAAAGGGGTCAGTCCCCTGTAGGGGCAAGATTTGCTGTGAGCATTTCCAAAACGCCGTTGAAAGGAGCTGAAGGGTGGGAAGTGAAGGGTGGAAAGGGCAGTACTAGACTTCAAAGTGCCATTTTTTGAGTTTTCTAGCAAGTGTTGAAGACTGAAGTTTGTTTTTTTCAGTGCTTTCTCCTTTACCTATATAATTTTTCCTATTTAAACTCCGCAGCTCAGGGAAGGGTGCAGAGAAGATGGAGCCAGACCCTTCCTGGAGGCACACGGTGGAAGGAGGAGCAGCAGTAGGCAGCAGTTTATACAAGGGAAAATCAGGTTAGGTATGATAAGACATTATCTCACCATGAGTACAGTCAAACAGCATTGGATCAGGCTGTCCAGAGAGGCTGGGAAATCTCCATCATGGGAGAGTGCAGCCTCCAAGTTCCTGTTTCCATTGGACTGCGCCAAGCTGTATTTTTGTTACCTTTTTTTTTTAGTTTTATCATGTAAAATTGGCAGCTTTACTGGCCTTCCTAGTTTGTATCAGTTAAGCTTTTGAAACATGTTCAGGTATTTTTAAATACTGCTGTGTAAGTTCCTTGTTTAATCTGACATATTCTGATTTATTATTTTACTGCAGTTACCTAAGGCAGTACTTAAAAAAAATCAGTGCATTAATTTTTTTGCATACTATCAGCTTAGTTTTTGATAATGTACCTAACACCCTTCCCCTCAGATCTATGGTGAAATGGCTGCATTATTTTTATACTGCAGTGAGGCTTATTTATTTAAACTTTCCCATTACCTTTGCAGTCAGACCCAATATCATTGGCTATGAAACTGTAAAACTAACGAGAAATGAAAAATCAAGTTGGATTGATTCATTTACTGCTGGACAAAAAATATAAAGTGGCAGTATAAAAAGATAAAATACAGTTTAAATTAGTTACTCAAATCACAAAATGGTTTGGGTTGGAAGGGACCTTAAAGCTCATCTTATTCCAACCCCCCTGCCATGGGCAGGGATGTCATCTGCTAGAATTCCAATAGAAGTTACCGAGTCTAGGGCAGGGGGAGGAGTCACAAAACTAGTCTGAGAGAAACAAATTTTAACTTGATGATGCCAATTAATTGGTTGCCCATTTGGTCAAGTTTTAAAAGCTGTTTCTTGAGGTTTCCCTGGCTCTGCTCATTCATCTACGTGTCTTGGGCATTGGTTTGATAACGGGGGTTTGTGCCTCCGAGAGTGTTTTCTGAGAGTTTACATGTCTAAAGAACCTCTCTGAATTACTGTGAAGCTTTCCTTGAATCCTTCCTTGCCTGTGCATTGGTAACTGAACACAGCTCTTGCCTGCAAGAGGCCAGTGGGACGAGGGTGGCAGCAGTGGGTGACACTAATGAGAAGTGGACAGTGCAATTCTCAGGCTGACAGATTGGATTTTGGGAAGGGCCATGAAGCCCCAGCCCCACTGTGGCTGTCCCCAGCCCCAGGGCATTCTTTCAGTCCGTTTGTTTGCAGGGGCTGTTTACAGAGCAGCCTGGATCTCCACCAGAGATGCAGGGTGTAGGTGGCATGCAGGCACTTTTCTGATGCGTTAGAAGATTTCCTAAGCCAGGGTTGTGCTGTTGGGGGAAGCACCCTGGGTGGGATTGCAAGTAGAATTTTGTTGTACCCTTTGCTTAAAGCTAATTCCTTTGGCTTCCCCTCCAAGGCACTGGCCTGGGCAGAAAGCTGACACCAGACAGCTTCCAGGGCTGTGCTGTCACAGGGCAAGTGCCAGTAAGGAATATTGGTGTGGTGTTGTTCAAATAAGGCGTGGTTCTTTTGTGTTGGTGGGTAACATGGCTGACATTTAGGACAGGCAAGAGCAATCCTGGGTGGCAAAACAGACCTTTCTGAATAAGGTGTTTTAGAGGCTGAATGAGGAGAATAACATGCACTTGTGTGTTCTTGCAGTAACATATTCCTCACCTCGTGCCCTGCACTTGCAGGGAGAATTAGCGAAGGATGAGAAGACTGGATCAGATGGTAATTCATGGAAATGGAAGCAAGGTATTCAAAGCACTGCTTTAGTCTGAAAAGAGAGGGGAGTGAATGCAGTTTTCCCAAGCCTTTAATGTGTTGAACACTAGCTGAAGCTCTCATGAGCTGTGTCCCCACTGTCCCCAGAGCTCCCCTCATTTCCCTGGTGTCACCCCACCTTTCCTGCACAGCACTGTGAATATGATATCTGTAGCTCTTTTTAAAACTTTGGTTTTTTCCATTAAAACTGCTCAGAGCAGGAAATGCTGTCCTACTGCAGGAGCAGACATGATGTGACCCCTAAACAGGGCATGGATAGTTGAGTAGTGGGAGAGAGAATTTTTAAGAGTTAACAAGGGAAGTGGCTTTGTATAGCAATTTGCTAATCAAATTTCATCTTGTAACAAACTTAACTGACAATCAATTTCTAAAATACAAAAGCCTCTTAGAGGAAATAGTCAAGTATATCTTCACCAGAAAGATTTAACTGGGATAACTTAATAAAGAGGACAGGATTTTTTTTTTCCTTTTTTTTTTCTTTTTTTTTTTTTGAGCAATCACTCCAGAAATGGAGTCTCATTAAGCAGCAGCGTATTCACAGGACAGTAACTACCTCTCTCTCTTGGAGTGCTGAGGTTACCACACTACACACTCTAGCAGCAAAGCTTTCACTTTAAAGAGATTTGTTTTCCTTACCTCTGTGTTTCAGAAATGCAAGTCTGCTTTGTAAAGTGACTCTAATGAAAATGGCATCTGGCAGGAGCAACGGGAGACCCTTGGGGTCCACAGTCCTTCTTGGCCTCCAATTCCATACTGTGACCCTTTGCAGGTTGGCCATGGGGCTGTGACAGTTCAGGGGGACTTTGTCACCTCCTGTGTGCTGCGTGACAGTGAACTGTCCCCTGGGCCGGGGCTGTGAGACCACATTCCTGCACCGGGAAATCAGTTAATGGTGGCAAAGGTAAAGGAGAATCCATCTCCCTCCTGCCTCCAAGGCAGCAGGCAGCAGTTTAAAAAAAAAAAAAAAAAAGCAATAAGATAAAATACAAACACTTTTATATGTTGTTCATTAGTCAGCAGATCTGACTCTGCAAATTTATATATATGTATACACATACAGAGAGCAAATCTCTCATGTGAAAAGGTGCCATTTTTTTTTCTAAAAAGTCCCTTTCCAAACTAGAACAGCACTTTAAATAGGTTCCTCTTTAAAAAAAAAAAATTAAAAAAAATAAAAAAAAAAAATGAAAAAGCAAACCCTTTTCTGCCGCAATGCACTTTAACTCGTCAGACGAGTACAGCTGTGGCTGGCTGGGGACACAGCTGTACAGGCAGGCAGCTCCTGGGCAGCCACAGCTCGGGGGGAGCAATGCTGCCGCAGCCTCGGCCGTGGCAGCTCTACCTCCAGCAGCCCCCCGGGCCCACACGGCCCCCACGCTGCCCGGAGCAGCCCCGCCGTGCCCAGGCACTGCTGGGGCTGCTGGCTGTTAGGAGACCTTGGAATCTTTCAAGAGAAACCCACCCTTGCCTGTCAAGAAGATTGAAACCCCGTTTTTTAACAGGTCAGAAGTTGCACCCAGTTACAACCCAGCTGGCGGCCCAGGGCTGAGCTGAGCAGCAAAGCCAGGACAAAGCTGTCACTGGGGTTGTGGGCTTTTTCCATAACATGAATATGGAGCCCTTGTCAGTTCTGTTTGGTGTTTTTTTTTTTCTTTTTTAATCCAAGTTTGTGTGTCCCACATTGATTCTGCTCTGAGCTGGTTTGCAGAGTAACCATTTGTAACAGAAATTGTGCTGTCACCGTCAACTAGTGACCTATAAATCAAACCTTTTTAGGACAGGTGTCCTAACACTCAAGACTTACTTTCACAGTTAAGAAATTTCCTGCTGTACTAATTATTCTTTTGTTTTTATTATTTTATTTTATTTTTGGTTGCAGTCCTTATTTCAAGAAAAAAAAGTCAGTGTTCAGACTAGTCTGGAGTAGGCTGAAGAGTAAGCCTGCTGTAACTTGTGGATATCAGACTGTTCTTCAGTGATTTTCCAAGCTGTTTCCAAACTGGCCCTCCATGACTGCTTCTCTTTTCCTCTTCCAGCAGGCACTGGCAAACAGAAGCTCCATGGCCTTTGTGTCCAGGGACAGCCAGCACTGCTGGAGGGGGGTGGGCAGGGATGGCAGGGGAACCAGAGTTGGGAAAGGGGGAAATAAAACCAAGGTAGAGGGGACTGTACAATTGCATTGAAAGCAGTTTAGCAAAAAGCGCTCTCGTTGGACAGCTTTAAGAACAATGTGAATGAGAACTTAGCAACTTGGGTAAGAATCTTGGAAAATTCTATAAATGTATACTTGAAATTCTGTTTGTATTAAAAAAATGCATTTTCTTCTTTCTTTTAACACTGTGTAAAAGAACATTATGCATGTGAGTGGTTTGAGAATTAAATGGTTTAATACTCAGATCCTTGTCTGTGTCTTATAGCTGACTGGTCCTTACCCAGTGTGGATTTTCTGCCTGGTCCTGGCTCCTAAGCTCAGCAGCTTGAGAGAGGTTGCACAGTGCCAGGCTGCTGTTCCTGGCAATTCAGATGGCTTCTGTCCTTTTTGGCTGAGTTTTGTCTCACCTCTTCAGCAGGCTCAGCCCTTTTCAGTCTCCCCAGGAGGAACAAGCCCTGTGCTCTTGCTGCAGGCCAAGTTTTGGATGTTTTCCCAGCTGCCTATGGCAGGGGAAGCATTTTGGTTCAGTGCCATGCTAGGGAGGCCCAGGCACTGCCTCACCCCTCCTCTTTCACTACTGTTCACCTCCACAGCCTGGAGCACAGCTGGAAAAGACACCGGTTACCGGAGGTTTTGTGTCTCTCAAAGATGTTCACAGGCAGAAGATGGGACCCAGCAAGAAAAGCCACAGTGGTAACTGCCAGAGGAGGGCAGGGACAGGGAGAGGAGGAGCTGCTTTCTGAACTCTTGGCTATTTTCAAAATGCTTCCCCTTTTCTCCCAGGGTCCCAGCCCATCACAGTTTGTTTCCAAGGTACTGCCCCAGGGAGTACCTGTAGGAGCCCCTGCAGGACACCTCTCAGATGTGTACGGTTTGCAATGGCCCGTGGGACAATGGAGGAGGTGGCTCTCCATGGACCAGTCACACACTGCTTGCACAGATGGTCAAACAATCCTACTGGGAACAGGAAAGAGTCAAACCCCTGATAGCTTCCAAATCTAGAGACCCGGTGACCAAAGATCTGGCATAGCAGCTCTATCCAAGTTAACTCCCTCACTGCTTGGCTGCTCTAGCAGTTCCTGCCAAGAGAAGCCTTTACAAAGGTGGCTATTTCATTGGTCCTACAAAATCCAGAGTAAGTGGCCCACTGGGCAGTGCACCCCACTGTCTGCACACACCACTTCCATGACCTCCTGAGGACAGGAACTGTGCTTTCACTGTCTGGTTTGAAACAGCTGTCTGAAATGGAGCAATCTGCATCTTCGGGACAGCCCTGCCAAAAGTCCTACAGCAATACAGCCACCCTAAGACAAGAGGTCTGATCATGTGTGGCCTGGCAGCAGGCCAGGAGACCTCAGCTCCTGGAGTAAACTTGCAGGTGAAATAATTTATTTTTATCAAAGCTACAGGTACCGGTTTTCTTACCTGGGCACTGTCGTGGTTCATGGGCACTGCTGCTACAGTAACTGTTAGATGAAATCTTAGCATTCAAAAAGAATTTCAAAGCCTTGGCTATGCAAGGCTGTGACTAGTGACTCTCAGCACTTGGGCACACAGGACACACCAGAGCTGCTGGCAAGCAGGGCACAGCTTTTGGCAGCTCTTCCACCCACACGGAGCTGCAGAAGGGTGTTCCTTGCCCAGCCAGCACAAGCCTTATGGCTGCTGCTCTTCCACTCACCTTTCTGGTGTGGAGCCCCATTTGTTGGAAAAGAAGAATTTAAATAATGGGAAGTGGCTCAGTGTAATCTGTGCATTCAGAGAGCAGTCTGTTACATACAGATCTATAGGTTTTAATGAACCAAGTGATCAGAGTTACAGAGGGTTGGGCACAGGAAGGACAGCAATGCTGGACTTGGGTGCCACAAAAATACTGGTACCAGATGAAATTCAGCTTTCCTTGCCACAAAGGACAGGACAGGTGAGGTGACCTATGAGCCCCTCACCTGACATGGCAGGGAGGAGCAGGGACAGCCCAGCTGGATGCAGTCCCTCCCTGCAGCTGGCACCAAACAGAAAGACCAACCACCCCAGGAGCAGCCCACATTTTGTGGCAATACCCCACCTCCCCTTTTCCCAAGGCAGAGGAGGGAGAAGTGAGGCCCTACCAGCCCCTCTAGGAGCAAGGATCAGCTATCCTGCCCATGAAGATGATCGTGTTGAGGGCAGCTTCCCGGATGAAAAGCAGGAAGGGCCTGTTGGCATTGAAGATTTTTCTGTTCATAGGGAAGGAACGGCCAGAGATGGTGACTGCTGTAGCAGCTGAGGCCTCGCTGCCTTCTTCATTCACCTGCCAGCCAAGAGACAAGATGGGATTAAAATACAGGCATTATGCAGCATGAAGAGGGCTCACCCTCCTTCTCCTCCACAGAACACAGACCAGCCTCCCTCCAAAGCCCCAGACTGCTGAGAAGTGAACACTGTTGGTTCAGAACTATTTTTTTCCTTTAATATTTTTTTTTAAAGAGCAAAACATGCTGGCACAAAACAAGGCTTACCTCAAGGAAGGCTTTGTGGAAAGCCTCAGACACGTACAGGTCTGTGCGGCCCTCTGCAATGATACCTGAAATACAAAAATATACAAAGGTGAAACTGAGTTTAGAGACAGCTCAAGAAAGAATACATTCCCATCCTTCACGGCCTGGGATCAGGCAGAAGGTGAGGCTGCTCAAAAACATAAACATCCTCTTCCATGTCTAACTGACTGCTAAACTGTCATGTCTTCAATGCAGAGCAGAGCTGAGTGTCCATGGTGGGACCTTACCAGAGAGTCCATCACTGATTGCAGCAACACATAAATTGTTCCTTGTGCTCGTTCCTCGTGTGCTGCTGCACCTACTGCCCTGCCTAGGGAGGAATGGCTGCCCCTCACCTCTACCCTGCGCTGCCCTATCTCCACATCTCACCTGGGAGTCTAGCGTTTTCTGGACTGAAGAGATCTTCCAGCCCCATTTTCCTCAGCTTTTCCTTGACACTGAAGCTGTCCTCGATGCGGAAGCGAGGGAGGTAGACGAAGAGAGACATCTCCTTCATGGAATCTATCCAGCCCTGCAGCTTCTCCGATGTCAGGTCTCGCTCCACCTCCTCCAGTGGCGTCCCAGCACTGGGCAGGACCAGCAGCATCGTGATATCATCCCCTTTGTAAGGCAGCTCCAGCACCTGGACTTTGTCCTGGGGGATGAATGCGTAGTGGAATTTGGACTCCTGGTACATAGTTGGGACTTGGCAGGTCTCACCATTGGCTTTATGAAATATGTCCAGTTTTGTGTTTGGAGCTGGGAACTGCGATTTCCAGTGCCCCTAAAAAGGAGAGGGGGAAAACAAACATGAGCACCATGTCTCCTCCAGGGAAATGTGGTGCTCCCCAGTTCTGTTAGCTTTTGTTACCTTAAAATAAATGGTGTTGACCAGGACCAAGACAGTGAGATCATCAATACCACTTTCTGGGATCACTTCTGTAATGCGCTTCTCTGTCTTGTTAGCCACCCACTCATTAATGATCTGCCTGGAAAGTTCTGGCTTCTCCTTAAGGAAGAGACCAAACAAAGGTTAAGCCAAGAGTTTTAAACCCCTCTTTGTACCCCTTTCTGCAGGAGACAGGTTCACAAGGGTATGTGCTGGGGAAGGACAATAAGCTTTTAGGTATGACGAGTGGGGACATGGCTGTGGTTAAGGTGAGCTGAAGCGAGAGGAGCTGCATCCCAGATTGCCTGTTGCTTTCACTTGTGTCCCAGAGCAGAGCACTTCTTCTGGGCAAAACACAGGGATGAACTGGGGGTGGGGGGTGGAACCAAACAAAAAAAGCAAAATCCTGAGTAGGTCAAACTCACTTTGAAGTTCAAGGGCCAGAGTTTTGCTCCATAAACGATCTCACTGATGTTCTGGTAAGTCTCATTAAAGACCAAAGATTTCTCCCCGAAGAGACGGTTGGCTGATACCAGCTCTGAGGATTTGTTTGCTTTCTTGTAAAGGCGGCAGTTCAGCTTGGCAAAGAAGAAATGGATCTGATCTGATGTCTTCTCCGAAATGGTGTCAAATCGAAAGACCTGGACAAGCCAAACAGCAACAAGGAATCCATGAGAAGGCTCTTGTGCTCCTGGGCCCCAGAGGAAATGGTGGTGCAGCCTCAGCCTCAACAGCAACAAATCTGCAGGCCCTCACAGCTTCACCCTCCATGTGTGGGAACCCAAGTTTATGGAAAATCAACACATCACCAGCCCAAGACCTTTAAGTTCTGTTAAAATTAATGTGGTGTTCATAACCCCTTACCACACAGAGATGAGCACTGCACCCACAGGGCCTAGAAGCAGCTCTTGGGTCATGTCAGGTCATGGGAGGACTCACATGTGCTAAACCCTCCTGTGAAAATGCTAAAGGCTGCTCTTTCCCAGGAGGAATTCTCATGGCCTGTTGAGTACTTCTGGTACATCTTATCTATTTTTACAGGGAATGGGAATATGTAGCAATCATTTTGAGGGTAGATTTTTGCAACACAGGGAATTTTTTAATCTGTTCCCAGCTGCCAGCTGGAAGGACAATTATGATTTGTCTACTGCTATACAACCTCAGGGCTTTAAAGCACAGAAAATCCCACAGCACATTTCTCTTTATGAACCTCCTTTGACACTGTTTCCTGTAAAGCATTCCTGGTGTTCCCAGCCATTTCATAGGGAAAAGGGGAGTTAGGAGTGCAAGTGTGGGTGGCTGAATGGAGAAGGTTCCCCTTCCAGTGGGAAGGGCTGCCCAGAGGGGAGCACACAAGTGAACATTTTGAAGATGTGGTTATAGCTGCTCCACTAAGGCTGTGTGGATAATGAAAGGAGACCACTAACATTATTTGTTCCAGAGGTAGGATTTGTAAGGACAAAAAGCAACAGAAGGGTTCGATCCACACCTCCTCATTGCAGGGAGAAAGGCTCCTCTGGGCTGAGATGTCCCATTGGGGAAAAAGGTATGGGCAGCATCAAACCCCACATAGCAGGTGAGTGGGTCTGACATTGAAAAGGGTGCTAGGACAGGCAGGGAGTTAAATTAGCTGCATGGAAGAGCCAGAAGTCTAGTTACTTCTTAGTCTGGGATCAGAACTTAAGCTACCTCTTACTCTGGGATCAGAACTATCCCCTGAGTATAGGGCCAACAGGTAGAGGGAGATGCTCCCCATACACGGGCTCCCCTGCCCTGGAAGTCAGGTGGTCTGCAAGGTCTCCCATGTGTCTGATTTTTGCCCCAAGGGAAAGAGAAGGAATGTGAAAAAGTTCCTCTGCCAGCGGGACTTGATACCATGTCTTTTCCTGCTTTTTACATATGGAAAAGCTTAGCTCAATCTGCAAGAAGCAAACTGTTGCCATTCCCTTCCCTCACTTTCCAAATGGGCTTCCTTTCCTCCAGATAAAAACTAACCTCTCAAACCCAGGAATGCTGGATCCAAATAGGGAGTAAAGGGAAAGAGCTGGGATCTAAACAAATCCAGAAACAGGGCTTGGAGCAACCTGGTCTGGTGGAAGGTGTCCCCGCCCATGGCAGAGGGTGGAACAAGATTTATTTTAAGGTCCTTCCAACTTGGGATTTCCTCCCCAAGACAACTCCTGAGACCCTGAGAGCAGCCATTAGCCATGATCACCTTTCCTGTCTTTCAGACCTGCTACAGGAAAAGGCTGAGGAATCTCCACCAACCTCCATGAGCTGCTGGAGGGTGCTGCCACAAGCTCCGAGCTTGGTCATGGCGAAGGCTGTGGAAATGCTGAGGGGTGACATGAAGATATTTTCCCCGTTGTCCTTGGAGTCAGCCAGGTACTTGTAGAAGACAACAGCAAACCGAGAGTTGGCTTTTGACAGCTCCCAGACCCGGGGGTTGGTGGACTCCGGGAGCTTGTCCTTTGCTGGCTCCTGTCCCTCCCCGTCCTGGGGCTTCTTCTCAGGGTTGCGATAGATGCAGATGGGGTTCACGCGGATGTCGCGGGGCTTTGCGGTGCAGATGTCTTCCACAGCGTAGTGCTCCGGGGCAGCCAGCCCCCAGACACTGAGCAGGCACAGCAGGAACAGATGCATTGTCCTGGAACCAGAGAGAGAGCTTAGACACACGGCCTGTCTGTGAAACCTGGCTGCTGCCACGGCCCCTGGCCCCTTCCAGCCAGCAGCACAGTGACAGCAGCCCCACAGTCCCCTCCTGTCATCATTCTGCTCTGCACCTCCAGGATAAATGAGGACAGACAGACAGCAGGAGGACAAACTTTCCTGTGAGCACATAATGCTGTTAGAAGCAATACACTGAAACCAGTTTTCTCAGTGACCTGGGTCCCCTCTTTTTTAAGTAGCAGGCTGAGCCCTGACAAGTTTGTACCAAAAATGGATGATTTCTACTTTTGAGTCCTCCTCACTGGCCAGTGAGGTGGCTACAGTGTAAGGCTCACCTCAGAGTTACAGTACTTTTCAGCTACTGATGTAGGAGACACTATGGCAGAGAAGAAAGATGATAAGGAAAAGGAAGTTGGTCCCTCCATGGACTAAGCAGCTCTAATTCCCAAAAAACGTACTTTATAAGCATGTATGGTGTAGCTGATGCATCACACCAATTCCTGTTCAAAGTTCATACCACTTCAATGCAATCTGGTTGTCCTTGGTACCTAAAGAGTGCAGGCTAATGGTAATTACTGTGTTCCAGCAAAGGCAGTTCTCTGAAAATCTTCCAGCAAGAGAAAGATAATTTGTATTTTCCCCTTTGCTAAAGCACATTGAACCTCAGAATGGTTTCAGTTAAAAGGAACCTTAAATATCATCTGGTTACACCCCTGCCATAGGAAGGGACACCTTCCTATGGCAGGTTGTTCCAAGCCCTGTCCTACGTGGCCTTGGACACTTCCAGGGATGGGGCAGCCAGAGCTTCTCTGGGCACCCTGTGCCAGGGCCTCCCCACTCTCACAGGGAACAATTTCCTCCTAAACCCCATCACCCACCAGCTCTGGCAGCAAGGCCTCATGAGCCACCCCAGGGCCTGCACGCTGTGGTTCCAAGATGCCCTTTGCATGACTGCTTTGTTTATGTACCCCATGGGAGGAAGCTCAAGCACCACAGCCACAACAGTTTGGGAAACAACTATTGGGAGGGGCTGGCAGCCTGCCCAGGTCTTGCCTGCTACAGGGCACTTTTTCAAACATGTGTCTAAGTTAGGTAAGTCTCTGCCTGCCTCCACATACTCACTGCTATGGCTACCAAGCATTGCCTTCTGAGAAACTAAATTAAAAGTCACCTGCATTTAGCACTGGTGACCTCCGTGTCTTTGGTGGGCCAGCACCTGCCAGAGGAAAATGGGAGCAGGCTCAAAGGCTGATCTGGGATGAAGGAGATCTCTGGGTTCTTCCACAACTCCCTCCCCGGGCCAATGACTTCATCTGTGCTCCAGTTCCTCTGCAAAAGCAGAAACTACCTCATCTGGCACCAAGACTGGAGCCCAAGGCTGTGTGACAGCACAGCAAAACAAGAGGGACTCGCTCAGGCCATGGCCACAGCTCTTGCTGGTGATGACACAGAGATCATCTTGCAATAGGTTTAGGACAGATGCAACACCACAAAGGAGAAAAAAATCTAAAAAGGCAGGGAAGTTAACCAATCAAAAACCAAAAAACAACACCCAGGCCATGAGAAAGGAAAAAAATTAAGACAATTGAAAATACTCCAGGAAGTGCTGTTCTTCCGAACCTTTCAATCCCACAGGAAAAGTCAGCCAGCAACAAGCCAGACACACTCCAGAGTTCTGCAATCCTGGGACCAGGAGTAGAGCCCTTCACTGCCTGCAGCAGCCCTCCTTCACCCACACTTGGCCCTGCAGCTCCAGCAGCACTGACACACTTGTGACCAGTCCCACCATGGAAAGGACAACCTCACCATGGTCTCTGACTTGTCACACCACTCACCTCCAGGGAAAGCCATGTCCTGACCCTGTCTGTACAAGGAGAAGCACCTGCTTCTGTCAAGCCAGAAGCAGCTCAAGGTGTTTGTCATTACACAAAATGCTGCTAATCTAATATCATATTTAAAGGCCAAAGCACAAGAGTGGGGAGGGCACCTCCATCCTCATCCTGTCCTCATGAAATGAGAAAGACTCCCTGTTTTTACTCTGCAGTAAAGCCCTGACTCCATCAATTCAGGGAAGATGCAGGACTTTATGCTAACACCCTAAATCTACTTTACCATCCATTAAGGTTGACCCAGCCTCTGACACATCCAATCTTGTCTCTTACAGGCAAGAGCCCCTTCTGTTTCTTAGACCAGCTCTTTGTCATAGCATTTGGCCAAAACCCACTCCTCCTCCCCCCACAGCTTTTAAATGCTCCCTTTTCCTCTGCAGCACCGACAGGCACTCCATGTGTCAACCTGGAAAGATGCCAAAAGTATTCCCACAACAGCACTGCCTGAAAAGGATTACTGGCAAGGGGGAATGTAGAAATCAGAAAAGGTTCTTACAAGGGTGAAGCAACAAAAAGTGCAGAAAGCCAAGAAATAAGTTGCTGATTCAGCTCAAAATCAGAAGGCTCTGGGGAAGCATCGAGAAACTCCCCGACCCCTTGGCTGCTATGCAACATGGTTGGGCTCTCACCAGCACATGCCATTTCCATCCCACTCTCCCATGGCTGCAGGACAGGATGATTAACTGGGCTTACAGACCCCCAGCATTCACCCTACTGAACCTACTGGGGCTACCGGTAGTGGTGGGAATGTCCCACAGCACTCACACACTGTGCTACACAGCCCAGCTAATGTGAAATAGCTCAAACCATTTTGAGATTAATTTAGGCTCTTGAGAAACCTTCCCCACTGTCTCACACCCCAAAACCAGAGTCTAAAGCAAACCAGCAGTGTTCTTTTGCAGCCAGCAATTACTCAGGGCTTCCTGACTTCATTAACTGCCCTTCATACCATGACTGCTGCAGGCTGGGGATAAGTCAAGCCTGACAATTTAGAGTGCCAGCCTTCACGACACCTAGGGTGGGAGGACTCTCTCTAATAGAGCAAAAAGCCACTCTGGCAGCAGCTAAAATTCATAGGCTCCTACTAAAGGAAAAGAAGCTGTTTCAAGGAATTAAATAACAATGAAAGATGTATGCAATCTGTTTCTCTTACCTGCCCCTTGTACCTCCAGCCTTCTGCTTTTTTAGGAGGTAAATGCAAATTTTTGCTTGAGCCCAAATCAGTTTCCCCACTGGATTTCTGTTCTCAAACAGAGCTGAGACAGCAGCAGGGGATGGTGGGAGGGGACTAGGATGCTAAGGCCAAAGGCTGATGACCAGCTGCTGAAGGTTAAGCAAAGAGTAGGAAAAAAAGAGGCAATGTTTAGTTTGAAAAAGGTTTTAAAGTTCAATCTGACAAGGGAGAGTTTGACCACCTACCACACACAAGTGCCACATGCCCTCAGTTTTTACCAACATAAAATGGACTGCTTAACCCATGACAAAAATCTCAAACCCTTCAAGAGTTTGAGTAAAAATTATATAAAGATATTTGCAGATCTAATTTTGGGATCTTGTAGCTAAGCAAAATGTTTCTCCCATCTGTCCCAAGCCCTGTCACCTGTTCCCCGTTTCCTGAACGGATAAGTTGGGAGAAACTGCCCCACTTCATATTCTGCAGTTTCAAATACATCCCATTTTAAACACACTCACCTGGATCAGCCTCTCCAGGGAATGGGCACAGCCCCAAGGCTGCCAGAGCTCCAGGAGCATTGGGACAACATTTTCAGGCAGAGGGTGGGATTGTTGGAGTGGCTGTGCCGGGCCAGGAGTTGGACTCTGTGATCCTGGTGGGTCCCTTCCAGTCCAGGATATTCTGTGATTCTGTGACCTTTGCCTTGCACAGCTGGAAAGCTGAGGATTAACAGCAGCTCCCCCAACTCCTGTCCAGATTCACAAGGCGGAGTAGTGAACAGGACTGAACACCATTTCTGATCCAGGATGCAGCTGCTCTACAAATCCTACACCACTGCCTTCTGAATTTCAAATCCCAGGAGCAGGCTGGCTCATCAGGTGCTGAGCCTCCAGTGAGAGGAACATTTTCCCTTAATGGAAAATGCAATTGCAAACTGGTTTGGGTTAAGTAAAAAACTTTACTGTGTCAGTATGGGACATAGTTAAATGGGACAGAGATTGTGGAGATAAATTTAAGGGTACTGTGAAAAATATCCTCCATGAGACAGGAAGGACTCACATATGATAGCTTGTTACTTCAGGTGGCTGCTGGTTTAATTTTTCAAGGTAACTGATATGTTCACAAATCCCAGGGTTTTCAGATGATTAGGGATGCTCCATACCCATGCAGACATCCAAGCACAGGTTTCCATTTACCCAGTGCTCAGAGGCAGTTTAAAGCAGTAAAACCAAAAGCAAACAACCATGCACACCCCACAGAGCTCCAAAGGCATTTATTCTAGGGCAGCTGAGTAAATCTGTCTTTTGAATGCAGCATGTAAATGGTCATTTATGGTTGGTTTAGCTCCAAGCAACAACCCAGCACTTGCACCTGAGCAGAGCTATCCAGGAAGCAGCCAAGATGGCCAGTGTCTTAATCCAAACTGTTAGATGCCTTGTTTGCTCTAATACAGGGGTTGTTTTTCTCCCAGAGCTGCTGCTCCCTGACACAAAGCAAAGATCAGAGGCTCAAAACCATCAAGCACCAAAGCCTGGCAGTCTGTGGCAAGACAGATGAAGCATCATGCTTTGGTTTTAGTCTCTCCCACATTTTTAGTCCTCAGGGAGTTGGAGTTCACAGTTAGAAAGAAGGTTACAGAAAGAACTGAACATATCCTAGCTGGAAAGAACCAGTTCTTAAACATACCTGATTGGTGAGGAGGAACATAAATTACCTTTTGTTTTCTGCTTTGGGTGTTCACTGTTGAGTTTCACGGATAGGCACAGGGAAAATGACTCTTGCACTCACGGAGCAAGATGGGATCAAGGAATCTCATGAGCTAGCCTTTTCAAGATTCTTTCTATCCTGCTATCCATACCCAAAAGGAACTTCCAGCAGGTACCATCCACTTGAGCCTGGTCTCCTCTCTTTTTCACATAAAGAAAGCCAGCAAGTTTCCCGCAATCTCTCTTGATGCAGAGCATCCATCACTTCCTTCCAGAGGGATCTGACTCTCTAGTGCTTCAGATCTTCCTTTTAAAAGCCAGCCATTACTGGAATTTTTTTCCTTCTGAAGTGAGTCACTACCTGAGAATCCTGAATCCTCAGACTAGTGAGAGAAAGGGTAAGGAAACCATCACCAACTGAAACGTAGTTTTCTGCTGGATTTCCCACTAAATACAATTTCTTTATGCTTTAACTCATCTAGCAAGTGAGTGTGGAGGTGTGAGGGGGCCTAATAATGCACTGTGGTGGGTTTCAGCCCAGCAAAACACACCTTACCGTGATCCATGGTGCCCAGGCTCAAGAATAATAAAGCTAATGGTAATGAACTCAACAGCAGTGAGCACAAACTCGAGGGGCAGAAGGCTCTGCTTGCCCTGGAGTAGAAGGAACAGTTTTTCAGTGAAGCAGCAGCTTCATCCAGTTTCAGATTTATAGACAATGACTTGTTAAAGACCACAAAAAAGGTGTGAAAGGAGAAGACTAAAAACCACAAAGCAGACTGTGGAACAAAACTTACTTTCGCTTTAAGGCAAGTTCCAAATCAGGCTCAACGTTAGACAAATGCTTGCTCTGAAGGGTCTGGTTTGCTTTTAAAATATGTACACTCTGAGCAATTAAAATAACCTGATTATTTTGAGTATCTTTTCTTGTTCACTTCTGGTGAACAGGTGAAGGACCTACTTTGTTTACAGGTGAAGTTAGAAGACAGCAGACCAAACCCAGGAGACACGTGGCTTCTCTGCTATTTGGCATCTCTTATGCTCCAGCCCAGCACAGAACACACACCTTGAGCTGGTGAAAATCTTACTCAGATGGTCCAACAGACTTAGACCTCACACAAAATTTAGAAGAATGTACATTCATCGCAGACAGAAAACAAGAGATACTTCAAAGTGTTCTTCATTAATTTATCACTTAATATAAATGCTGACAGAAAACCAGGTAAGACCTTATAGACACTTCCATCTATTTACAAACCACATAGTGAATCACTTTTCCACTTTTTTTTTTTTTTGTTCAATCTGCAGCTCAAAGGACCCTTAGACATTCTGTGAGAGCAAGGTGGAGTCAGGGAGAAAGAGGGAGAAAAGCAAGGTGAAGAGGAAAGAAGGAATAGCATTTCAACACGTTTTTTTCTATGTAACTGCTGTGCTTGTACAGTAGGTCTCCACTCCCTTGTTCTTTCACACAAAAGTGACACCGTTAGCTCTACAGGTCTGAGAATTAAATAAAGAAGACCAATACTGATTTTCAAATCTCTGCATCCTTTTGCCTCCTTCAATGCATTCTGTCCCACTTCGGCAGAGTACCTAGAACGTTTTTCTTTCAAGACTAAAAAGTATATTGTAGGAGTAAAGACACAGGGAGTTGGATATAGAGAATTTTCTTCTACTCCTTTCGTTATCTCACTTTTCCCAAGAGGTAGCAAAGCATCTAACCTTTCTTGGAAAAGACACAGCAATTCCCCATGTGCCTCTGAACATCTCCCCCATGACCAGGTCTGTATGTACAAAACTTCACAATTCCTCTGAACTTGCAAAGAATTCAATTTATGGAATTGTTCTCATACATTCTACTTCATCTCTACTCCTACTGTGAATGTTTTGATAGTTACAAACAATAAATATCCACATTATCAACCCAGAGTCAATCACTCCCATGATGGATTGAGATTTTTTGTTTATGGGAAAGAGAAACAGGAAAGGAAGAAAACAGCAGAAGGACAAGAAAAGCAAGGAAAAACGCAAGGAGAGAATGAATGATATTTTGTTTAGCACTGACTCATGAGAACAGCAGATGGAATTTCATTTATCTAGGATCCTATATAAATTTAAGAAATAGTTCATAACCTGACTCAACAAATTTCATGGTCTCCTTTATTACCTAGACTATCCTTTATTTCATTTTTTGTTAAATATACCTCTGCAGGGCACAATCACATACAATCAATACGATTGGATAATTACATGAGCTCTATCCCAAGCATATATGCACCAATGTTAAAAAGTTATTTAAAAAACCAAACAAAACAAACAACCCAAAAAAATAAAATAAACTCCACCCAAAAAGGTGATAATGACTGCAGAATGTCTCGGGGAGACTTGTAAGGAACTAACAAGATCAAAGAAAATTAGACTTACAAAAACCACAATAAAAATCATATATCAAGAAATCCCACAACTGGAAGTAGGTGATTTCAAAGAAGTGGGAGCTGTCATATAGATCCCACAATTTTTCCTCCCTCCTCTCACACATCTTGCTCCACCTCTTCCTCCCCATAGCAACAAATATAAGGAGGGGAAGAGCTTAACATGACGCTATCAATTAGAGAAAATATGAAAAAATAGCCAAGCTACAGAACAGCTGCTAAGCTGACTTGAAGGAAAGATCCTTTAAGCATGGAAGCTGCTTACACAGCAAGCAGAGGCCAAAGGGGGAATGGGAACTCCTTACAATTAGGGGAAACTCTCAAAGTGATTTGTTTTGCCCATATTGATCAGCTTCACTTACGAGAGGCTGCAGATGAACAGTACTAATTGCGAGCTGTGCAGCAGCTGTGATGGGAACAGGATTGCTTCTTCCTCTCAGGTTGCTTCATGCAATTATTAAAAGCTGCTGCCAAATTTCTTTTTAAAAAGCTACAAATAAAGAGGTCAGTGCACACATCCAGTTGTGGGATCCATCTGATATACAATCTGGTTTGGATGCCAAAGACTTGTGAGTACTGTCTGCCACAGAACTATTAATGAAATCTTTTTAACATTATGAAGAAGCAAATCATTTCTTGAGCATCAAATACTCCATTTTTTTTCCCTCTTACAAATACATTTATCTCATATACATTTCACATGTAATTCCATTATGTATAATGCTTTTTACTTCCAGAGACTGCACTACCTCTTGCTTCTGTCTCTCCCAATACTGTATTTTTCAAATTGGACAATTGTGTTTTCCTAAAACTTGCAGATCTTCA